CCAGGGATCATAAAGTTACAACTTACAAGACAGGCTGTAATCGTGCCAGGATCATAAAGTTACAACTTACAAGACAGAATGTAATCGTGCCAGGATCATAAAGTTACAACTTACAAGACGGACAGGCTGTAATCGTGCCAGGATCATAAAATTACAACTTACAAGACATGCTGTAATCGTGCCAGGATCATAAAGTTACAACTTACAAGACAGGCTGTAATCGTGCCATGATCATAAAGTTACAACTTACAAGACAGAATGTAATATTGCCAGGATCATAAAGTTACAACTTACAAGACAGACAGACTGTAATCGTGCCAGGGATCATAAAGTTACAACTTACAAGACAGAATGTAATCGTGCCATGACCATAAAGTTACAACTTACAAGACAGAATGTAATCGTGCCATGACCATAAAGTTACAACTTACAAGACAGAATGTAATCGTGCCATGATCATAAAGTTACAACTTACAAGACGGACAGGCTGTAATCGTGCCAGGATCATAAAGTTACAACTTACAAGACAGGCTGTAATCGTGCCATGATCATAAAGTTACAACTTACAAGACGGACAGGCTGTAATCGTGCCAGGATCATAAAGTTACAACTTACAAGACAGGCTGTAATCGTGCCAGGATCATAAAGTTACAACTTACAAGACGGACAGGCTGTAATCGTGCCAGGATCATAAAGTTACAACTTACAAGACAGAATGTAATCGTGCCAGGATCATAAAGTTACAACTTACAAGACATGCTGTAATCGTGCCAGGATCATAAAGTTACAACTTACAAGACAGACTGTAATCGTGCCAGGGATCATAAAGTTACAACTTACAAGACAGAATGTAATCGTGCCAGGATCATAAAGTTACAACTTACAAGACATGCTGTAATCGTGCCAGGATCATAAAGTTACAACTTACAAGACAGACTGTAATCGTGCCAGGGATCATAAAGTTACAACTTACAAGACAGAATGTAATCGTGCCATGATCATAAAGTTACAACTTACAAGACAGAATGTAATCGTGCCAGGATCATTAAGTTACAACTTACAAGACAGGCTGTAATCGTGCCATGATCATAAAGTTACAACTTACAAGACGGACAGGCTGTAATCGTGCCAGGATCATAAAGTTACAACTTACAAGACAGGCTGTAATCGTGCCATGATCATAAAGTTACAACTTACAAGACAGAATGTAATCGTGCCAGGATCATAAAGTTACAACTTACAAGACAGACAGACTGTAATCGTGCCATGATCATAAAGTTACAACTTACAAGACAGGCTGTAATCGTGCCATGATCATAAAGTTACAACTTACAAGACGGACAGGCTGTAATCGTGCCAGGATCATAAAGTTACAACTTACAAGACAGGCTGTAATCGTGCCAGGATTATAAAGTTACAACTTACAAGACAGAATGTAATCGTGCCAGGGATCATAAAGTTACAACTTACAAGACAGGCTGTAATCGTGCCAGGATCATAAAGTTACAACTTACAAGACAGAATGTAATCGTGCCAGGATCATAAAGTTACAACTTACAAGACGGACAGGCTGTAATCGTGCCAGGATCATAAAGTTACAACTTACAAGACATGCTGTAATCGTGCCAGGATCATAAAGTTACAACTTACAAGACAGGCTGTAATCGTGCCATGATCATAAAGTTACAACTTACAAGACAGAATGTAATATTGCCAGGATCATAAAGTTACAACTTACAAGACAGACAGACTGTAATCGTGCCAGGGATCATAAAGTTACAACTTACAAGACAGAATGTAATCGTGCCATGATCATAAAGTTACAACTTACAAGACAGAATGTAATCGTGCCAGGATCATTAAGTTACAACTTACAAGACAGGCTGTAATCGTGCCATGATCATAAAGTTACAACTTACAAGACGGACAGGCTGTAATCGTGCCAGGATCATAAAGTTACAACTTACAAGACAGGCTGTAATCGTGCCATGATCATAAAGTTACAACTTACAAGACAGAATGTAATCGTGCCAGGATCATAAAGTTACAACTTACAAGACAGACAGACTGTAATCGTGCCATGATCATAAAGTTACAACTTACAAGACAGGCTGTAATCGTGCCATGATCATAAAGTTACAACTTACAAGACGGACAGGCTGTAATCGTGCCAGGATCATAAAGTTACAACTTACAAGACAGGCTGTAATCGTGCCAGGATTATAAAGTTACAACTTACAAGACAGAATGTAATCGTGCCAGGGATCATAAAGTTACAACTTACAAGACAGGCTGTAATCGTGCCAGGATCATAAAGTTACAACTTACAAGACAGAATGTAATCGTGCCAGGATCATAAAGTTACAACTTACAAGACGGACAGGCTGTAATCGTGCCAGGATCATAAAGTTACAACTTACAAGACATGCTGTAATCGTGCCAGGATCATAAAGTTACAACTTACAAGACAGGCTGTAATCGTGCCATGATCATAAAGTTACAACTTACAAGACAGAATGTAATATTGCCAGGATCATAAAGTTACAACTTACAAGACAGACAGACTGTAATCGTGCCAGGGATCATAAAGTTACAACTTACAAGACAGAATGTAATCGTGCCATGACCATAAAGTTACAACTTACAAGACAGAATGTAATCGTGCCATGACCATAAAGTTACAACTTACAAGACAGAATGTAATCGTGCCATGATCATAAAGTTACAACTTACAAGACGGACAGGCTGTAATCGTGCCAGGATCATAAAGTTACAACTTACAAGACAGGCTGTAATCGTGCCATGATCATAAAGTTACAACTTACAAGACGGACAGGCTGTAATCGTGCCAGGATCATAAAGTTACAACTTACAAGACAGGCTGTAATCGTGCCAGGATCATAAAGTTACAACTTACAAGACGGACAGGCTGTAATCGTGCCAGGATCATAAAGTTACAACTTACAAGACAGAATGTAATCGTGCCAGGATCATAAAGTTACAACTTACAAGACATGCTGTAATCGTGCCAGGATCATAAAGTTACAACTTACAAGACAGACTGTAATCGTGCCAGGGATCATAAAGTTACAACTTACAAGACAGAATGTAATCGTGCCATGATCATAAAGTTACAACTTACAAGACAGAATGTAATCGTGCCAGGATCATTAAGTTACAACTTACAAGACAGGCTGTAATCGTGCCATGATCATAAAGTTACAACTTACAAGACGGACAGGCTGTAATCGTGCCAGGATCATAAAGTTACAACTTACAAGACAGGCTGTAATCGTGCCATGATCATAAAGTTACAACTTACAAGACAGAATGTAATCGTGCCAGGATCATAAAGTTACAACTTACAAGACAGACAGGCTGTAATCGTGCCATGATCATAAAGTTACAACTTACAAGACAGGCTGTAATCGTGCCAGGATCATAAAGTTACAACTTACAAGACAGGCTGTAATCGTGCCAGGATCATAAAGTTACAACTTATATATAAACACCACATTTTCTCATAAACACCACATTCCCACATAAACACCACATTCCCACATAAACACCACATTCCCACATAAAGACCACATTCCCACATAAACACCACATTCCCACATAAAGACCACATTCCCACATAAAGAACACATTCCCCACAGTTTGTCTAACAGTTTAACAGTTTGTCTGGGGTTTAACAACTGATAGTCGTTAGCAGAAGTTGTTATTTCAATCAAATTTTCCTGACAATACCTGTCTTACCATAATTAGTCTATTTCATTAACCACCCCCCCCCCCACCCACCACCACACACACAGAGGAACCGACCTACTTTCACCAGATGTAGGTCAAGCTGTCTGAGATGGCCACTCCACCTGGCTATAATTACTGTCGGCTATTTTCAACTGTCCATCGGTGCTGTCCTTCATGAACTGTCCGTCATGTTTGAACTGTCCGTCATGTTTGAACTGTCCATCATGTTTGGACTGTCCGTCATGTTTGGACTGTCCGTCATGTTTGGACTGTCCGTCATGTTTGAACTGTCCGTCATGTTTGGACTGTCCGTCATGTTTGGACTGTCCGTCATGTTTGGACTGTCCGTCATGCTGTCCGTCTAATTTTTTCTAGATGTTAAAAGTTGTGACAGACAAATAGTGTTTGAATATTGTGACATTCAAGTGTCATATTAACTGTCACAAACATTAACTGTCACAAACATTAACTGTCACAAACACTAACTGTCACAAACATCAACTGTCACATCAACTGTCACAAACATCAATTGTCACATCAACTGTCACAAACATTAACTGTCACAAACACTAACTGTCACAAACATTAACTGTCACAAACATTAACTGTCACAAACATTAACTGTTACAAACACTAACTGTCACAAACATTAACTGTCACATCAACTGCCACATCAACTATCACAAACATCAACTAACACAAACATCAACTGTCACATTAACTGTCACAAACATCAACTGTCACATCAACTGTCACAAACATCAACTGTTTACATTAACTATCACAAACATTAACTGTCACAAACATTAACTGTCACAAACATTAACTGTCACAAACACTAACTGTCACAAACATCAACTGTCACATCAACTGTCACATCAACTGTCACATCAACTGTCACATCAACTATCACAAACATCAACTGTCACAAACATTAACTGTCACAAACATTAACTGTCACAAACATTAACTGTCACAAACATTAACTGTCACAAACATTAACTGTTACAAACACTAACTGTCACAAACATTAACTGTCACATCAACTGTCACATCAACTATCACAAACATCAACTGTCACAAACATTAACTGTCACAAACATCAACTGTCACATCAACTGTCACAAACATCAACTGTCACATCAACTGTCACAAACATCAACTGTCACATTAACTGTCACAAACATCAACTGTCACATCAACTGTCACAAACATCAACTGTCACATTTACTGTCACAAACATTAACTGTCACATCAACTGCCACATCAACTATCACAAACATCAACTAACACAAACATCAACTGTCACATTAACTGTCACAAACATCAACTGTCACATCAACTGTCACAAACATCAACTGTCACATTAACTGTCACAAACATTAACTGTCACAAACATTAACTGTCACATACATTAACTGTCACTTCAACTGTCACATCAACTATCACAATCATCAACTGTCACAAACATCAACTGTCACACTAACTGTCACAAACATCAACTGTCACATTAACTATCACAAACATTAACTGTCACAAACATTAACTGTCACAAACATTAACTGTCACAAACATTAACTGTCACAAACATTAACTGTCACATCAACTGTCACATCAACTATCACAAACATCAACTGTCACAAACATTAACTGTCACAAACATCAACTGTCACATCAACTATCACAAACATCAACTGTCACATCAACTGTCACAAACATCAACTGTCACATCAACTGTCACAAACATCAACTGTCACATTAACTGTCACAAACATCAACTGTCACATCAACTGTCACAAACATCAACTGTCACATTAACTGTCACAAACATTAACTGTCACATCAACTGCCACATCAACTATCACAAACATCAACTAACACAAACATCAACTGTCACATTAACTGTCACAAACATCAACTGTCACATCAACTGTCACAAACATCAACTGTCACATTAACTATCACAAACATTAACTGTCACAAACATTAACTGTCACAAACATTAACTGTCACAAACACTAACTGTCACAAACATCAACTGTCACATCAACTGTCACATCAACTGTCACATCAACTGTCACATCAACTATCACAAACATCAACTGTCACAAACATCAACTGTCACAAGCATTAACTGTCACAACCTTACAACTCACCAGTAAGATGGTGCTGGCCATTTCTTGACTTGTCGCGGGAGATTCTAAATTATAAAACAATTAGTCTAATTAGGACAACACGTCATAAAAGTAGGAAACGTTTCTAATTAAATATGACGTCACATTGGTAGAAAACATTTCTAATTAAACATGACGTCACATTGGTATAAAATATTTCTAATTAAACATGACGTCACATTGGTATAAAACATTTCTAATTAAACATGACGTCACATTGGTAGAAAACATTTCTAATTAAACATGACGTCACATTGGTAGAAAACATTTCTAATTAAATATGACGTCACATTGTTAGAAAACATTTCTAATTAAAACATGACGTATCACCTGAGACGTAGAGAACCATTCCGTCACCAGGGTCAAATTTTCAATTTGACGCTCCCCCCCCCCCATCCCAGATTTTTCTCAGATATTTTGTTTTAGAACCCCCCCCCCCCCCCTGAATCGGAAAGGCTTAGTTTTGCAATTTTGTCTCTATGTCTGTGTGTGTGTGTGTGTATATGAAACTCTGTGAACACGATAATTTGACGAAATTCTAAATATATATGATGCGTGCATCTCTCCAATTGGACGATTTTTACCAACCCACTCCCCTCCGTCACAAATCGTCACAAAAAGCCAGACCCCCCCCCTAAAATGACGTAACACTCAGCCTACAACACCCCTCAAAATTGCGGTTGAATTTTTATTTAAACATCGATATTTTTCCAAAATCTTGTCTAAACTCTGTCAAAATAGAGTATTTTAATCAATTCTTATTACAATTTATTCAAACGCTTTTTTAAAACGCGAAATAACGTCTAAAATTCGTTTTCAACATTGCTTTTTTATAATGCAAAAGTGTGACGTCGCACCATCTGAACCCCCCCCCCTCCCTCTCATCACACATTGTCACAAAATTACGGACCCCCCCTCCCCCCTATGAGTGTGACGTCATTTATGGACGACCCCTAAGATTATTCTCTTGGATTTTGAGTGATTTTAGGTGAACGGAAGTATGATTTACACTTTCAGATTTCTGAAAAAAAAATGACTTGTACCCAATAGATTTCTTCAAAGCTTTTCACGTAGGTCTAGACTCGATGACAATGCATTTTATACATTTAATGAGGCTGATTTAGATACTAAATTAACTTTAAAAAAAGAATCAATGTTTCCTTTATAAAGCAATTTTTTTCCGCTCTATTATACGCGTTTTGTTTACGTTAATTAGGCGTACAATTTTTTGTTTCTCGTATACGAAGTATACTGGTAGTATTGTAATCATGCAACAAATCAAAATCGAGGTGTTAACGAATCTCGACGTTTTACACCTCCCTAAGTCGGAAAAAATTAGTTTTGCAATTTTGTACGTATGTCTGTGTGTATATGTTTATGTATGTGTGTATGTCTTTGGACACGATAACTTGAGTCCTGTTACAGTGGAGTTGATGAAATTTAAAATTTTAGTATTATATCAAATGTGTAATTCTATATCAACTTTTCAGAGATTTCCGGTAACCGGAAATTAAACTTAATCTACTTTTGGTTTTTCAAAAGCATATATATAACTTGAGAACTGTTTAAGATAAACGAAAGTTCACGCAGAAGATCTTATTCTCTGTCTTATATCAAAATTTGAGTAATTCTCGTTGACCGGATGTAGTAATTTACGCTATTTCCGATTTCTCAAAAAAAAAAAAATTGCATATGAATTTATAAAGTACTAATATTCCGCACTATTATACACACACTGTTTGCTGTTCACTTTTTGCGCGATTCTTTTTTCTACGAGATTCTATTCTATTAATGAAAGTTTAAGTAATTAAAAATTGATTTAAAATTATGTCTATATCCTAAGTGGCATTCCTCATAGTGTTAAATAAGAATATGCGAGAGAGTTTAGGGGATATCACTCCCGCTTTATTTTATACGCACTTCTGTTCTATTTAAAAATGTGTAATATACGAGAAAGTTCAGAGGAGATGTGTTATTTTTTGAAATATAGATTATTAGCTGCTCATTTGGTGCGTAATTCTTTTTTGTACGAGACTCAATGCTATTTTAAATAAACCGGGAGTGATCTCCCCTAAACTTTCTCGAATATTCTTATATAACTCGGAATATAGACATGATTTTTAATTACTTTAACTTTTAAAAATAGAATAGATTCTCATAGAAAAAAAGAATTGCGCACCAAGCAAACGCCAAAACAAAATGTGCATAATAGTGCGCAATATTATTAGTACTTTATAAATTTACAAGCGGTTTTTGAGAAATCGGAAATAGCGTAAATTAGTACTTCCGGTCAACGGAAATTACTCAAAATTTAACAGAAGGTAGAGAATTAGATCTTTTACTTACATGTGAAATTTCATTTATCTATTTCAAATAGTACTCAAGTTATAGGCTTTTGAAAAATTCAAAGTAGAAAAAGTACCACTACCAAATCGCTCAAAAGTTGATACGGATCTACGATTTTGATAAAATACTTATATATGAAATTTCATCAACCTAGCTATAACGGTACTCAAGTTATCGTGTTTACACACTGACAGACTCACAGACAGACACACAGACATACGGACAAGATTGCAAAATTATGTTTTTCCGTATCAGTGAGGTGTAAACCGTCGAGATTTGTAAAAATCTCGATTTTTTTTTGCAAGATTACAATACTTTCTCTATACTTCGTATTTACGAGAAAGTAAAAGTTTGAAAAATATTTTACCGATTTAACGATTTAATTTAAAAAAAGTAATTAAAAAAAGTCTAGTGACAATTTTAGCGCAATTTCCTTATGTTATCTAAAAATAGCTCTGTCGTAGAGTAAATCAAGAGCAGGGTTAGTAAAACCATTGGTTAGTTACTAAAACTTTATTTATAAATTTTTTTTTCCAGTATTTTACATGTTTTATTTACAATAGAGTAACATGACTAAAAACCATTGCGCGCCTAGCTACCGAACGTGACGTCGCAGCCATTGAACGTGATGGCGCAGCTATTGAACGTGATGACGCGTGTGGTGTGATTGCATAAAATGCCTACTAATTCGGTCCTAATTTTAATTAATTCAAAATTTTTTTGTGACCAAACGAAAGGATATTTTTGAAAACTTTCTTCGGCAATATTGTTCTAAATTATGGCAGGAATCGATTAGTAAATGTTTCAAGTCGCTAAGTGGTCTGGTTGCCGAGATATGGGCCAAAAACTTAATTTTTTCGAGGTTTTTTGGCTTTTCCGGGAAATCCATGAAAGAAACCCGGAATTTTTATGGCCTATGTTCATCCTCGTAACTTGCTTAACATAATTGTTTTTGTACCTAGTCATCGATATTGCTTCGTTGAGGAGGAGATACGACTTAAAGCTGCGGACACACATCCATACATTCATCCATCCATCCATTCATCCATCCAGAAATGACGGGTTAATAAACGCAATTCTCCAGAATGGAAATTGCGCTAAAAAGTGTACACATTTGGTTTGAAAAATATTTTACCGATTCAACGATTTAATAAAAAAAGTGTACACATTTGGTTTTAAAAATATTTTACCGATTTAACGATTTAATTAAAAAAAAGTGTACACATTTGGTTTGAAAAATATTTTAACTATTTAACAAAAAAAAGTGTACACATTTGGTTTGAAAAATATTTTAGCTATTTAACAAAAAAAAGTTTACACATTTGGTTGAAAAAATATTTTACCGATTTAACGATTTAATTTAAAAAAAAGTGTACACATTTGGTTTGAAAAATATTTTAACTATTTAACAAAAAAAAGTTTACACATTTGGTTGAAAAAATATTTTACCGATTTAACGATTTAATTAAAAAAAAGTGTACACATTTGGTTTGAAAAATATTTTAACTATTTAACAAAAAAAAGTTTACACATTTGGTTGAAAAAATATTAGCTGGCAACCCGAGCATGATAAGCTGGTGGAGAAATTGAACTGGGATCACGTGTTGTAATTAAGCCGCGGACCAATCGAATGAAATGAGGCTCTAAATACAGAGAGATAATTGACCTGCCAAACGTGGGCTCGTATAGTGACGTATGGTGACGTATGGTGACGTATGGTGACGTATGGTGACGTATGGTGACGTATGGTGACGTATGGTGACGTATGGTGACGTATGGTGACGTATGGTGACGTATGGTGACGTATGGTGACGTATGGTGACGTATGGTAACGTATGGTGACGTATGGTGACGTATGGTGGCGTATAGTGACGTATGCTGACGTATGGTGACGTATGGTGACGTATGCTGACGTATGATGACGTATGCTGACGTATGGTGACGTATGGTGACGTATGATGACGTATGTTGACGTATGCTGACGTATGCTGACGTATGGTGACGTATAGTGACGTAGGGTGACGTATGCTGACGTATGGTGACGTATGGTGACGTATGGTGATGTATGCTGACGTATGGTGACGTATGGTGACGTATGGTGACGTATGGTGATGTATGCTGACGTATGGTGACGTATGGTGACGTATGGTGACTTATGGTGACGTATGGTGACGTATGGTGACAAACTTCAAGTTTTCAAATCTTTGACATCGTTTTTTAATTATTTTGTTTTGTGGCAAATCTTGTACTTAAATTTTTTTTTGACATAAATGTTGACTATCCTTGTATCATATGGTATCATTGATGCAAGTATATTGACTATCCTAGTATCATGGGGTATCATTGATTCTCGTATCTCTAAAGACGGCAGCACCTGACGATAGTTCCAATGCGGCAAGTCACGTGTCAATCTTATCGTCTGCTGGTTCCGGCAGGATTGCTCGCCAAAACTTGGCCAAATTATTTGTAG